ATCAGGAGCCCTTCCTGGGCTGAACTGGGGATCAGGAGCCCTTCCTTCTTTGTTCTAGCACTTATGCCCCGCCATAGTCAGCTCACCCTCAGCCGTGATGCAGGGGGTGGAGCTCCTCTCCGCGCTCACACCGTCCACGGCTTGCTCCCTCGTGGTGGGCACTGTCGCCGGCTCTCGCACCTGGTCTGACGTGTCGGGCTCAACATCCGAGGCGATCCTCTTCTTAGCCGCCGGGCTTCGCTCCGGCGCCTGGATCGCGGCGGGAAATGGCTCTCCGTCATCGGTGGGCTCAGGCTTATGCTCCGTACCGTGGGGAGATGGTGGGCTGGGCTCAGGGTCCTGAGTGGGGCTGGTGTCGTCGTCAGCGATGCCCACGGTTAGCTGGGACTTGCAGGACACCAGCACCCACTCAACGAAGGTGGTGAAGCTCTCTCGAGGACCATCCCCAGACAACTGCGCTCGTGTGGTGGCGTTAAGTCCAACTCTATAGAAGGTACAGAGGCAGTTGTCCGGGTAGTGTGTGAGGTGAGCCAGGGACAGAAAGTCATTGGTGTGGTCCTCAAGAGAGCGTTCCCCCTGCTCCAGCAGGAGGATTTGGAATGCGGGGTAGTCCATTCTACAAACAAAATAAAAACTGACAAAAACTGGCAAAAACAAACGAGGGGAAAGACGCCGCTATACTTTACTTTTTTAGGGTCAGTTATTCTGTCACGGTCAAGGTGTGTGGAGGCAGGCAGGATGACAAGGATTCAAATAAGGACATTTAATGTAGCGACAACAAGGCAGACGAGACATACACACTCAGGGTAACATTCACAATAACCGACCGTGACACTAGAATACAAGAGACAGGAACTTATAGGGCAGATAACGAGGGGCAGACAGGTGAACTCAATGAGGGTAATTAACTAATGATTAGACGGCTAAACCAACACAAGGGGAAGAAACCACAACAAACAGTCCACAGGGGTGTTACACTCATGGCAATTCGTATATATTTTACGAGGTGGCTAATTCGTACGAATTCGTAAGACCTCATTCATACAAATCCATACGATTTTTGCTAAATCGTACGTATTTTACAAGTTGCATAATTCGTATGAATTTGTATGATATACACCTAACCTCGCTCCTAAACCTACCACCGGGGTCTAGACAAATCGTACAAAATCGTACGAGTGAGGACATACGAGTGAGGTCGCACGAATTAGCATCCTCGTAAAATACGTATGAATTGGTCGTGACATAGCGTTGAAATATTCGTAAAGATTTTTACAACTCTAAAGCTGTTTCGGTAATACTTTACTTAAAGCCTTTATGTACAATGCATTATAAAAGTAGTTTTAATGCATTAATTATGCCTTGTAATGCACCCTATAATGCATCGTACTATCTCATGAATAATTGTAACCACAAACTTCGGTTATAATTATTTACAAGAAGATATAATGTATTACAACACACATTATGAATAATTATAATGCATTACACCCTTTGATAACCCTTTATAATGCATTGTACATAAAGTGTTTCCGCTGTTTGTTTTATGTTTTAGATGCTGACTATGTTTTATGATTAAGTGAACAGTACATCCAAACATATAAAAATGTACTTGTAAACATTATGTAAGATACATATCTTTTATATACTGGCACAATAAATCATTTCCATTGAAGAATTAAATGAGAAAGCCACTGTAGTGTACCTTTGACATTATTTGTACACTGCATCATTAAGTCTATCACATTTAATGCAATTCAGCAGTTCTGGAGCTAATGGTCTTTGAAAACAACTTGACCTATGTCTAGACAAAGTGGACGGGGCAGCTTTAGTTTTCAGTTTCTGGTCTGTAAAGCTATTCATACACATTTCTAAGGTCATTCCACTAGTCTGAGCTACCGCAATGACCAACAATAAGGGACGAGCATGTTGGTACCAGCCTTTCCCCTTATCTAACTCTTTAAAATGAAAGGCCAGACACTCGCAAGGCCAGTGGTTGTTCTACTTAAATGGGGGCAGAGGGTTATGGTGTGCTTTCGTGATATGTGCTTTGACAACTGAAAATCTAATTACGTGTGTATACAGCAGAATAGTGAAAGTAGGTCTGCCTGTAGGCATGGCTGAGTACTTGTCAATGTGCCACCCTTGACTGGGGCCCTCAAGGTCAGGCAATAATGGCTTCATTACTCTGTGAGGCAGAGAGCTCATGAAAAATGAGTCTAATCATCAAACAATGATCATTTCTTAAAAGTGTGATCTCTTTTGTAGATTCTTATTTTTTAATACTTTCGTCAGATTTCAAGCAGGCACTTTTTGACTGAACTGTTAGGCGAGACACAAATGGAGACCATCAGTGATCTGATGTGAAGCTTTGTGAAAGGAATCCCAAGAATGTACTATAAAAATACATTTCTTCCAGAAGTACTAGAACTCAATTACTATTTGAAAGCAATATGATAAAATGTAGCAGCTACACAAGATTCTATAGACCTTCAGACACATATCAGTCATGGTTATTATTGTTAAATCAT